AAAAAACAAAAAAAAAAAAAAAAAAAAAAAAAAGTGTTTCCTGATGTTCAGAGGGAACCTGGGAACCTCCTCTGTTTCTGTGCGTGCCCATTGCCGCTGGTCCTGTCACTGGGCACCACTGAAAAGAGCCTGGCTCCATCCTCTTTGCATCTTCCCTTCAGGTATTTATATACATTGATGAGGTCCCCCCTGAGCCTTCTCCAGGCTGAACAGTACCAGCTCTCTCAGCCTCTCCTCATATGTGAGATGCTCCAGTCCCTTCATCATCTTGGGGGCCCTTTGTTGAACTCTCTCCAGCATGCCCATGTCTCTCTGGTACTGGGGAGCCCAGACCTGGGCACAGCGCTGTGGCCTCACCAATGCTGAGCAGAGGGGAACGGTCGCCTCCCTCAACCTAATGGCAATGCTTTGCCCAGTGCGTCCCAAAATACCAATAGCCTTCTTTGGGGCAAGGGCACACCGCTGGCTCACGTTCAAGTCCTGTAGGTTACAAACTCCATGTCTTTCTTTCTAATGAAAAACTAAGTAGGAATTACAAGCATGAAAGACATTTCAACAGTAGGCAGGTAAACCGAAAAGACAGTTCAAGGGAAAACAGAAAACACTTCAAAAGAAGTTAGTGCAACAGAACAACTTCGTGTAATTTTCATATGGCTTCTACCACACTCTGCTCTTTATATGTGTCGAATTAGAAAAACTGATAAAGATAGCTGCTAAAGCATTTTTCACCGTTTTTCAGGAGTCCCTCCAAATATTGTATTGAAAGAACTATAGCTTAAAGATTAAAGGGTTTATCTATACATATAAACTACATATATATGCACACACATATGTAAGTATATATATACACAAGCACAATACACACATGAGCACATACTATTAAGAAGTCACCTTCAATGGAACTGATAGGTGTTATTGAGGCGTTTTGAGTACTGAGCAATCAGGTCATTTAATGGCTAATCTGTGATCCAGAAGAAGTAGTAACCTGAGAAATATGTACAGCCATTTAGAGTAGTTAAAGCCAAAGAAAACAAAACCACTTCAAAATAACCTACTATATTTAGGGATACAGAACGCAAATGAGAATACAAAACACTCAATTCTAAAAAGGTTGAGCAGGTCAGAAAAACAGCCTGAGAGCTATAAATGTTATGGTTCTAAATTAAGTACAACCATTCACAAGAAAAATCTAGTATTGCAATGATATAGCTAAAATAAAACCATTTTAAAATAAAACTCTCATTCGATTAGCAATGAGACAAATAACAGAACATTACTGGCATACTTTTACACTAATGGCTGGTACACCCACCCTCATTTGGGATGTGTGTGTGTAGTTCTGACTACCCCACCACAACAACCTGGTCTACGAGCAGGGGAAGAAGTAAAGCCTACTTAATGGACTTCTCCCTTCTTCTTCTCCTTTTGCCCTCCACTTCGGTAACTGCAACTTTTCTTCCCTACCAAGCCATATTATGTGCTGTCACTAACCTCAAGACACACAGAGATCCACAGCAGCTCACTGGTCAAAGAGCATATTACTGCTCAAAACCCACTTTGTCATTACCGAGGAAATCAATTTTGTGTCTTCAACATGCTTTCTTGAAAGTTACCTTTCTCCAAATTATCTGTAATTTAGTAACAGTCACAAACGATGGAGGTAACATGAGCATGGGAGAAGAACATGCACATGAGACTTCTTGCCTTCAAAGACCAAGTTAACAAGTCATTCAATTGTTATAGCAACTGCAATTAGGAAACAGAAAAATTCCATCCTAAGGGCTCCATACAAAAGAGTCCCGTTACGCCCTTTAGTGCATTCAAAAGGTCTTTGTTTCGTAGGACTCATATTCAGGGACCAAGCACTTCTATGTATCCTGTCTTCTACTATACAGACCTTTCAGAAATTCTGAAAGGCATCAAGGTTATCCTAATGCAGCAACTTGAAGAAAAATCATAAGACTCCTTACAGAATACCCCATCATAAAAATCACAAGAAGTGGATTAAGCAGGTTGAGTGTTTACAGCTAGAGTAATAAACACAAGTTGTTCCATGAATAGAAACCTGCTTTTGTTACTTCTCATTCAGGTGTCCTGTCTCCTAGTCTCTCCTCAGGGCAATAACTTCAGCTCCTCTCAGGGGACTCCACTGTCCAAACTTTTTGGAGTGAAAACCAAACCAAAACAATAAAACCCCACAACTGTAGCAGAACTTGCCCCAGCAAGCTGGAAATTTTGCCTATGCTAGCAGGACAGACAGCAGTGGTTATATCGTTTTGTCTTGTGGCAACTCTGCCTTGTCTTCACAGGGCACTGATTCTCCATGGAGTCACCCGTTTGCTTGAAACCAGTAGGAACTTGACTACCTTTGAGCCTCCCCCTTCCTGTTTAATTTTGGCTTATACTGGCTGGTAAACTTAGAAGTTATTTTTGGAGACAGGGAAAGAAGAAGACTGACACTCTACATAGGTTTCGTTGCCACAGAAACCAAGCTAAAAAAACTCAGAAGGGAACAGAAAATGTCTGTTTCAAGGCATTACTTATGCTACTTACTGAAATGTTACCTGAAACAGCATTTAACATTAAAAGTATAGAAATCGTATCTAATATTTTTTTTTCCAATAGTAAGACTATTTTGCCCGCTTTTTAAATTAAAGCACCATGGAGAACTCACAGTTCATCATCCCAGCCCCCTCCCAAGCCCCCAATGAACCATGATATGGTAGTAAGCAATACAGCTGCTTTTGCCAAGATTATGGTCAAAACAATTGCCAGGACCTATTAAACTACAGACAACTGTAAATTAGTACCATCCCCTGCCCCCCACCCTCACATCTGAAAAGCAGGACACAAAGACTTTTTTTTTTCCCTTCACATCTTAGTCTGTACACAGGTATCTGGCTGGCTATATGGAGCTTTACAATTAAGAAAAGGGAATACTTTGTTATTAGACATATTAATCTTAAACTGTTTATACAAGTATTTCAATCCCTGCTTTTGCAGCCCTCGAACTACAGTACATTACAGGCTCAAAAGTCATGATCCTCATATTCTCAAGATATACCTATGTTAGGACACTTAAAATTCAAAATTCAATCAAAGAACAAAAGATTTTCTGCCACCAATGACTCAAAATCTCATGGTAACTACTAAAGAGCGTACAGAACAGGAAAAAAAAAAAATTAG